GATTGCTGCTGAAGAGGCGAGACATATGGGCGCTCGATTCGGGAAGTCGGCCTTGCAGATTAGCATGGGCATTGAGAATGCGATGTACAATGACTGGGAGAAATGGAGCCGGCAGGTCGTCTTTGAGCAAACATCGAGGGCTGCCGCTTTTGAAGGCACTGTCACCAGCGCTGAAGAGGAGGCTTTGAAGGACAATGTGCTGGAAGAGAGTACGACCCAGCTGCAGCAGCCAGGCGGTCGTCCTGCGATCGGAGCTGCTGTGTTTGCTCAACAAGCGCAATTGGACTCTCGTGTATCGAGACGTCCCGGTTCTCCATAGGAGGTCCGCATTGTATGTGCTCAAGCAGGGCTGGGATTGGGGTTCAGCAAAAATGTGTTGTAGTATCTCAACTGCGTTGCAAGACGTCTTTCTCCCATCTATGTGTCCATTCTACCCGCTGGCTTGAACTTCCTGGTCTCGCCTTATTGCAATGGACGTAGTAATGGGAAATCTTGTTCCCATCGATAATGGCCGGCTGACCGACATGAACTCGAGACGAGCACTAGACAAGTGACCGTTACCAGCGACAATATAATCTCTTGTAACGCTCTTCGAAGATGCAACATCTGAAGCCACCCTCTCTACAAGGCCCGAAACAGTTAGTCCCCGTAGACCGGAAGAGCAGCAAGACAGAAATACCAGAAACGGACAACACGCCTCTGGTGTCTTCCACTTCAGATGCGACTCGATTCTCTGTCACCATCCACCATCCTTGACAAACTGGTCAATTCCCAATCTCCCCCCCTCCTTCTGTAGTCTCTCTCTCTCGGAACGTCAGGAAAAGGACTCTAAAACACTGTGTCTTCTTGTAATCACCATGTCCTTGCCCTTCCCAAACGTCTACCATCTCCGCACTGTCGCTGAAGCTTCATCCAAGGCCTGTTATGTCTGTTACAAACCCTCGGTCAAGGTGCTGATCACTCCTGATAATAAAGTAAGTGCCATTCCTTTCTTCCAGACACGATCAGTCCTTTGAGTCAGGTCCATGACGATCACCCTGCCAACTGGTCTGTGCCAGGATTTCTTCTATGTCTGTGTTTCCCACCTTAGCGACAGAGGGTTTGCTTCCCCCATTGTAGACGCCGAGGCAGAAGCTGCAAAAAAGAAGAAAGAATGGATGGACAAAGAGATAGAGAAAATCAAGCAGGAGTACGAGGAGAAACAGCGCAACAAGAAGGCCAAGAAAAAGGCCAAGGACGACGACAAGGACAAAAAGAAGGACGACGACGATGACGGCAAGGCTGAGAAAGAAAGGGATGATAAGGTCAGTCTGATCTCACTAGTACTTGCCGTTTCCCTTCGTCCTCGAAGCTGATGTTGCGATCGTCTGTAGATCAAAGCCATACAAGCCGGTTCGAGTCCCAACGAGAAGTCGGAAGATGTTCCTCGTGTATATGCCCTGCACAAGTGAGTCATTTCCCCCTTCTTCTCGGTGACCTACCCTCCAGTCTAATGATGACAGAAATTTCTATCAAATGCGAATTGACCGATTGCGCAATCTAGAGGTTGCAAAACGGAACCAACAGCGCATGAAAGATCCCAGCTTCTTCCCTGCAGCGCCGAAGGGCGACATCTCATGACCCGACGCCAAATGGACGACCTTCTAGACTCGTGGTTTTGTCTCGACGCCTCATTTTTTCTTTCCCTGCTCAAGTTGTGAAGATGGTCCACACTGGTGACTCGAAATATGCCGGCTTTGCCGAGAGCTGGAGCTTTGTATCTTGTCCTAAGGTGCCCACTCAATGCCCGGCCACTGTTTGTTGTCAACGTTGATGCCAGTGCTGCTGCATCATGCATGATCAGAACCTGCCCATCTGGTGCATAGTTGTCTGCAGTGTGCCGCACAGCTGAAGGCCGCTCGGGGTTTAAGGCTGGCAGCCTCTGTCAGCACTAGCGTCCAGGTGTGTGGACATCATTTCGCTGGTGGAGTTGATGATGGGTTTGTGTCTGCTTTCATCCATGCTCAGATGTCAGCCCAGAGTCAGCGGTCCTCAATTTCCTTGTCACCGTTCGTGGATCTGGATGGGAATGATGTCAAGGGCACGCAAATCTTTCAACCTTTGTCGTAACGACACGTGGTTGAGTACAATGAGTGTCGCTCGCAAGGTGCAGGTAAACACGAGCTCGCATGGTGCAGTTCGTGTTCACTCGAGGCGAGGGAACGCAGCCCGGATAGGCCTGCTCGGCTTCAATACGACGATCCCGCTCTTGCATTTGGGCCTCCCGCCGAGCTGTCACCTCCACCAATCTTGCCCGTTTAGAGGCTCGTTCACCCATTTGCCCTTTCCGGTGAGCGTCGGGTACACAAGTGCGATTAGCAAGGACGAAACCTGGTTTCCTTCCCCCATCCAAACTGTTGAGGGCCGAAGACCCCTTGCCTGCCGTCACGAGACTGAAACCCGCATGTTTGGACCCCTAAACGGACAAAGCGGAATTCTTTGCTTGCCTACTAACAATCCCCTGCTTGGGATAATGCTGGAGATCGGCTTTTGGGTCTTTCCCGACCGAAACTTCTTGACTTCTCACGAGGTACACGAGGCTGAACTTCAGTTACGACTCACAGCAGACATTGGTTACCCCGATCCCTAACTATTCAACCTGCGCTTGTACATTTCCGACAGCATGGACTCTCTCGCCAATCCATCATGCTCGCAAATTCTATCGCCGCCATATTCGTGGATTTAGATAAGCGAACCGTTGGCACGTGGAGTAAACACAACGGAATGTTTCCGATTGTCGCTCTTTCGGACAAAGTCTGGGGCTCTTTTGGTGGTCATCACCTTCCAAAGGGTGGCGTCCAACCCCCCATACTATTGCATGTCTGACTTTCGGGATGCCCGATGGTTCGAGTCAGCAAGTCCGTTTTGCTACAACAAAGCCGAGCTCAAAAGCACGTTTGAAGACGGTGAAACACGCCAAGCAAAAAACCGTTCTAAGGTAGGCAAAAGGCTGCGCTCGGCACCGAGGACCAGTAATCATGTTCGACAAAGTTTGTGCCGCATGTCAGCACTGAAGGATTTGGCCTGCCTGCCGGATCAACATGAATACGCAACCGAGCTCTGGCCAGAGGATCACTGCTGCGGAGATGATTTACTAAGCTCCTCATGTTGGGATCCAAGAGTCGGCGGCAAATGAGCCCGTATGGTTTCCACAAGTGCTCCGTCTGCCATTTTAGCGGATGATGCCCTGTAAGGCTGAAACCTACAAACACACTCTACCGTGAGGTCTCCATTCGCAAGCTGACGTGGAGTACTGGTATATCCCGAGAACGGCGACCACGGTTCGAGTTGCAGGAATTTGTCAAGAGGATTCTCGCCTATGGCTCATGCTCGAAAAGAGGAAACCGTTTGTGCCAGTCAGTTGTGTTGGACCGCGCTGTTGAGGTGCCACTAGCCTTCCATATCTAGATATTGAGGAACCATGCCACACTGGACCAGGCCGTGGGAATCCTTCGGTCCCCATTAAAGCCCCTGTGTCTGAGGCATTCCCTAATCAATTCTTCACACATAGCAAGCTGCTACACTTACGAGCTAAGGCCAAGCTTCCACCACCGGGCAGGTAGAATAGCACCGACTAAAGAAAAGATGAGAAGTGCAACTTGCTCCTCAGGAAGTGATCCAGCAAGATTGGAGTGAGGTCTGTTAATGGCGGTGGGCGGTCGGGAACTCCGTATGGGGAATGTGGACTGGAAAACAATGTGCTTACTCGTGCAACCGTGATGGAATCAGGTTGAATGAGTCGTCTTTGTTGCCTAGGTCGAGGAAGTAAAGACCGGGTCATACATCGTTGCCGAGAACCTTTACGCCGAGCAATTCCACCCCCCCAGCAATGTTCTCTGTTGGTAAGCGGGACAACTTCTCCCAGGCAGCTCGGAACGTCCCATGACGTGCCGGCCGAAAGGCCTCGTTCTCGTGATGATGATGGACGAGTCGAAAGCGCTTTTCCGAAGATGAACGCGGGGCGTGTCAGCCCGTTTGCAAGTCTGCTGGGACCCAAGAGCACCATGATGCTTAAACGGATGCTTGGTCGCGCCCTTTGGTCTATTGAGAGTGGAAAACTCGTCAGGCCTCAAGCAGCAGCAAACTTTTCAGGAGGCCTGTCAACACTAGCCGAGCTCGACCACTGTCAGTCCGCCCGTTCCGACCACGAATCGCTTTGTGTGGTGAGCGGTTCTTGCCAGCACCTCCAAGGGAAGATAAAGGACAGACTGGGAAGGCGTTAGTCATAGCCCCCTGACGGAGATGTCGCATCCAAATTCCAGAAGGAGAGGAAAACCCCAAAAGCGAGAAGAAGAAAGAGAAAAAGAAAAACCATTCCGTCGGGAAAAATGGTCGGGTTCAGCCTGGTATCGCCATGAACGGTATGGCATCCGATTCTCCTGCAACCGACGTCGATACAAAGGGGCTGCCTGTCGCTTCGTGCTGCCGCAAAGAAAAGGGGGTCTGGGTCTGACTCTGATGCATGGGACAACTGCTGTTTGCTCTCGCACTGCTTTTCTGGTGTGAGGCCCTTCACAATGGGTAGTGTAGAGTCTGGATACGGTATACGTATGGGCGGTCTCCACGGCCACGGGAGAATATGATTTGAGTCTCAATCGAGGTCGGCCGCACCGGAACACATCACATCACATCACATCACATCGACCATTCTCGTGTGCGATACGCACGTAGTGTCACCCACCAGTCCATTCCATTCCACTCCACTCCATTCTCAGCCTTGTCGTCGTCTTAAAATCGTAGTCTGTACCGTGTATCCCCGTAACATGACGGTTCTTTGTGGTATGTATGTATTGCGCGTCGCGAAACTTCCCCTCTTCCCCACGGACCCGAAAATTTCTAAAGTGATTTTCTCTCTTTTGCTTTCTCGAGGACTGGCTGGGTCCATCCATCCACCCATCCAACCCCCTTTTTCGACCTGTCGGACATGATTCATTGGGAGTGTCTGAAAGGGGGTTAGATCGTCACAAGTTGCCATTCCCCGCCCGCCTCATTCCAGGAGGATACCTCACCGCGCCACTGTTACTCGTAGAGTTGAAGACTGGTTTCGTGGCGTCTCCGTTTCCATGTCCACTCCCAGATCCCTGGCCCTGGCCTGAGCCTGGTGGTCCTCCTTTTATTGCCCGCGTAGAGCTTCCTACATCATGGCGGCGCACCTCGTCCACCTTCCCCTTGGCCAATCCAAAACCAGGCGTCACCCACCCGCCACAGCTGCAGCGCAGGCCCTGCCACGCAAATTTGCCAATGTTGGCCCCGCACCATTGTGTCGGGCACGTCAGTCGGCCGTCCAACTGGCCTTGGGAGAGGACGGGCCTCATCCACGAGAGAGGGTGGAGAAAGATGTGAGCGCAAGGGTCAGCGCCCACGGCTGCCGAAGGGTCACGGTGCGCCGGAGGCTTGTGAGGCAGGATGAAGCTGGACCTGGCCAACAGGCGGCGGCATTTGCGGCACTTGATCTCGACGTTTGCCGGTAGGGGAGGCGCCGGCGAGGGCGACGACAGCGTAATGTCCGGGTTCAGGATCTCGGTCGGCTCGTCGCTGTCTGGGTCAAGCAAAGTAAGGCTCTGTACCCTGTCGCTAAAGGGGTCGCTTCTGTTGCCTGCGCTTGCGCCGGCTTGGTCTAAGCCGTGAGCACCGTCCCCCTGGCCGTTCTCGTCGTCGTCTTCTTCGTCGCGAAAACTAATGTGGTCCATCTCTGGCGCCCGGTTTTCGCTCAGCGCGTCCAGCACATTCCGCGAGTTCATCCATCTTCGGTAAATCTTGTGGCTCTCCAGCTGCTCCTGCGTCGTCGGGCAGCCCATGGCCTCGTACATGCGGAGTTGCTTGATGAAGCCCGAGTTGGGCTCAACTTGGGGGCGGCCTTCACGGACCAACGCAAGTGCCGTGTCCACAGTCAGCGGCGTGGGTGGCAGGGAGACCATTTCTGGTGGGGATGCTGATGATGACGGCGAAGACATGACAGGAGACTGGGCCGTGGTGGTTGTTTGAGACTGAGGGTAGATCATGTTGGCTGGTTGGCGGGAGTGCCAGAGAAGGTAGGCTAAGACAATTGTCGCTGAACGAGATACGCCCATTGCACTGGAAGATACATGTTAGTTATCATCGATCCATTTCTCTTTCTGACAAACTTCATTCAAAACGATGATGGCAACGGCAGCAACGAGGCCCTAGTCTTTCAGAGACGAGCAAAACGACCTTATGCCATGGCTACTCTCGTACAATTTCACCAATGACGGTGAATTGCACCTAATGGAACATGAGTCCATAATGTTCCAGCTCAAGGCAGTAGGTGTGACTTCAATGTGGTAGTCGTGACAGTGCCCCTATCCCCCCAAGGGATCTCAGCCTTGTGGCTAAAAGGAGTTGTCACGTGCTTCGCTAGCCGGGAATCACAGGCACCGCAGGAGGTTCAAGTCGATGAGCGGCAGCCGGTAGTTCGTGGAGCTGAATGATTTAGTGGCCAGAAACAGTTTTGTTTTCACATGCTTCGGCTACTGAACTAGGTAAACACGTCCGGCTCCAGTCCAGAGTGGCGGTACTCGACCGGGGTGCTCAGCGTGGCAAAGCCGAGATTTGGCGGAGCCACCAAATGTGAATGTTGGGATTTGGTGGAGGCGCCGGCCCGTTCTACCCTAGACATCATACGACACAGACCTGTCATTCAGAAGTACGGTCGGTGAGACCGACTCTCTGCTCCTGGGAAGGTGCTGCCGTACGAAATGCGGACCAGGCGTTGGACTGTGTGAGAACTAGAGTCGCCGACAGATACCAACCATTGGTTTTGACAGGCCGGCAAAAGCACGAAAACAATAGACAATGCCCGTGGACACGGAAAGCAGGTTTCAGAGTCCCATGTGACACGTTTGCGCAAGCTAGACAAAAGCTGCCATGACCAAGAGTCAGGAGAAAGGAGAAGATTCACCTACCAGTGCACAAGGACTCCGCCCGGGATTGGGTCGTTGGAGCCATCTTTGAGGGAGGTGCCAGAGGTTTCGAGTTGATTGGATCTCGAATGCTTTAAACCTTCGTGAATAAAGGCATTGCTCCGTGGGAAATAGGACAGAATGTTCGAGTCGTAGACATCGTCCAGAGGGATGTGCAGGTGTTGGAAACCGCGAAGAGAGGCCCAGTCTTTTTGAAACTTCCAGTCTAATACTGAAACAACGTGAGTGATGTTGGAGTTCTGGAGGATCTTCGGGCGACGCAAGGCTTGAAATCTGATGGGACTTGTCAACAGTTGTCACTGGAACTTCATCTCAATTCTCCATCAGGTCGGCTTGGAGGTGGGTAGAAACAGGTCGCCAGCCACGCACAAAAAGGGGGAAAATCAGTTCGACCCACGTACCCATCAATGTACAAATCGTAGCCTGGGACCTTGCTGGGCAGAGTTGGGATGTCCATGTCGGCTCCGAAGATAGCGCGGCTGAGGTGATGAACAGATGCCGGATCCCAATAGAGGCAAAGAACGGGCCAAGGCCAACCACCTCTCGCAAGAGTGAAAGCAGCGGTGAAGGGGCAAGGACCAAAAATGTGGATTGTGAAGTAACGGCTTTGTTTCTGTGTTTTCCGGAAAGTGGGCGAAGGTTACCGGTTGAGATTTTTTTTTACTTTGTTTGTCGGTGGTAATTATCTCCTCCCTGCCAAGTTTCACACTCGCAGACACCACGGTTTGAGTAGTGTGGGAGGGACAAGGGTTTAGATCGGATCGGCTTTGGGAAGTCTGGGTAATGGTGGCCTCGAAGCCTTGAAGCCTTGAAACACTTGGAGGAGGTTGAAGCGGGAAGAGAAAATCGGATATGAGCCTCGGCTAATGCCAAGACTCTGATAAGTCATCTTGTGACTAAAAGGGAAAGAGAGACACACGGAGCAATTAACTTCCACTTCACTTCCACCTCACCTCTACCTCCACGTCTAACCATAAGTTTTTATCCCAGATAGCCCGTATAGAAGTGTTTAATTTGTGGATTTAGTACTTAAGAGTAATCTGACAATCCTCTCCTCCACCCTATCCTTATGCCTCAAGGGTGTGGCTTGGCCCGTCCATAGACCGTGGCTGGTGACATGTACGTAAAAAAGGGATCAACTATAGGTTATGCTTAACTGCAAATACCTTTCCGTCATGTTTACCCGGCATCAAGGCGAGGGGCAACCTACAAAAGAACGAGACCGAGGTCAAGGGGCCTTATTGGTGATGGCGAGAGTCGGGTGGGGGAGCAAACGGTTTGATGGACATATGGGGTCGGCGTCGACGGGTCCAACGGAACACCCGGGCGTGCACATCAACACGTCAACAACCCCTTTGGCATTCATTGGATATCTCTGGCTTGAAACAATATCCTGCCAATGGATGGCTTCACCTTCCACGAATGGAACTGCAAGCGATGTTTGATGAAGTTTCTGGAATCCAACACTAGCCACCTGCTTGGTCCGCAACTTGTCGGTCTGGGAGTTACTGGAGTTTACAAGTTCGGATGAGGTGGCGTCATCGGGATTGGAGGGGAGGAAGAGAGGTTGGACGTTGTACTGGGGGTACCTGATACCTACTAGCCGTAGGGTCTGGTAGGAATCCCCACGGAGCCACAGGGCAGCAGCTTGGTGACATAGCCATATTAGGGCCAGAGGGATCTAATCCACACTCTGGTCATCCTTGTTGGGCGTAGCAGGTACTAACAACCCCCTGTTCTTCTGCCGTCAGTGTTGGTGGTGTTGATCCAAGATACGACGTCAGTTTTGCCCACTCGCAATATTTCCCCAGGCTCGTCAAGACCCGCTCCTTGCAATGCACGCAAAGAGGTGATTTTCCGAGTCTCAACCCGGCTCTATGTCCCGGTCTGGTTTGTTGCTCCGAAGCCAGGCACCTTGTCGAGGCACATTTACAGAGCGCAGACGCAGGACGCAAAACGCCTCGTCGTCAAGCACCCTCACCTCTCAGAAAAATATTTCATCCACTCGCCGATTACTCCTTCAGGCCACAGGCTGGAGAAGTTGATCAAACTGACCCTCTGTTTCAGTTGCCTACGAGGAATCTCCAGCCTTGTCGGTTGCCAAGTCCCAAAACGCTCAGATTCAGACTGATTCCGCTACCCGATCGAGTTTGTGCACCGTTACAATCACTCGCAAGCTTCGCAGATGATACGATCCACCTTCTGGAAATTCATGCTAGGTCCTGCTTCACCCTCGCCAATCACAACTTGACGATTAATCGAAACCGAAGGATGTCGTGCCATCCTACCTCCTTCCACTCGAATGTCTTCTCGGCCTCACGCGGCCGCGTATCATCCACAGACCTTTGGTAAGATGGAGCACGCAATCAATCTGTGGCAGAAGGATCTCGTTTGGCGAGTGAAAGAGAAAGAGAAGAGCCAGAACAAGCCTCATGCAGACCTTCAATCGTTTCGGGAGTTGCTTTCGCCGATGTACTCGGTGCTGGTGCCACCTCCGTGGATTGATTGGATGAGGTCCCATCGGCCTTGTGGACGGCGGCTGGCCCAATAGAACAAGTCGAAGCCATCAACCCACCGAGGTACCTCGTTCGTTCAACGTGCGCATGCAGTCTGGCCACCCTCGCTATAAAAATTTGGGCAGCCGAGCGAGACGGTTATGGAAGGTTTTGACTAATCGCCGAGGGGGTGGACACGGCACGCTCATCACAGTTTTTGGTAAGGCAGAGTACCGAGTACTCCATTAAAGAGGGCCTACGAGTACTTGTAGGGCTGTGCTTGATGTTTCCGCTGATGGAGATCCGAGGGCAATGGTTAGGGGCAGGGGGCCCAGGGCTGGAGTGGGTGAGTGGGTGAGTGGCAAGCCCATGCATCCCCGAAACAAACGCTACTTGGAGGGACACCGCCCAGAAGCAAAACCTGTTGCTCGAGTCAGTCGCCCTGGCTTCCTGCAGGCCATCAGACTCGGCATGCGCTATCCACCAACCAGTACCCAACCTCGAGGCCAAGGTCAAATGACACTGCGCTCCAAAGTATCCTCTACCACATCACCTCTCGTGTTTGGTACTGCCAACACAACAAGCACTTGAGGCAGACAACTCGTTTCGTATCTGGGATCCGCTAGCTCCCGCTTGATGGAATGGGCTGCTACGAGTAGGATTTGGCCCAGTAGTAGTGCCCTTGTCAGCGTGGCCTCGGGACTGCTTGTTCAAGTCCAGAGTAGGTATGACGTGAAAGCGCCAAAAATCCGAGCTCTCGTATTCGCAGGCGTTTGGAGTGTGGGAGTTGACGAAGAAAAAGCCTGGGATTGCGGCTAGACCGTCTACGGTGAATGCTTTCAGAGTATATGCACGAACCTATGAGTATTCGTATCCACAAAAACCTTGTTGGCTGCAGAAGACGAGGCATAATTGATGTGAGCTCACATCACATACACCTAGTGCACATTGAATTTTCCCTTGCTGCGATCCCCCACCACATGGGGAATTTTGGCCAAGGTTGCGGAAAGAGAGGAAACAAGAGGATCTGTATTTTGTGAAAAAAGGTTTTCTTATAGAGATCCGTTGTCTGTTTGTGGAAGGCGATGGGTTTGGCGGGAAAACCATCTCGCATCGTCCCCCGAGCCACTCATATATGGAGTACATATGTAGCGTAGCTAAATTATGCAGAATGCAAACAACGCCACCTAAGGCCATGGAACCCGCGCTTTCCGAGATACTAGTCATACTCGTAAGGCTTCAGCTGGGACCGAAGTCTTGGGCCGGCGAACGGCCAAGGTCTAATGTGGACCACAGCGTAAAACACCTTTCCCAAGGCCTGTTTTTGTGCTAAGATGATGATGCTGATGATGATGAGGATGATGGTGGTGGTGGTGGTGGTGGGTGGGCGCCAGTGATGATTGTGTGGTGGTGGTAATGGTAATGCCCAGGTGCACCAGGTGGTGATGGGTGATTACGATGCGATACCGGGGTTCGATGGGCGGACAAACAATGGCCGTGTTGGCTACCATTTTCTAGTATCGGCTCGCCTTAATCGTACAAGGACCTCCCTATTGTGTACCTCGTACAAGTACTCGCAAAGCACAAAAACACCCCCTGGGCCCTGGGTCGGCTGAGGTCGAGATACCCAAGCACTGTGGCACCCGGCATGGAACACCCCCCGGTCGTGGGTTTCATAGGGCTACTGTCTCCTCAATTAGGTCCCACCACTAAGCGGCCGGCAGGTTTTGGCGGGGCACTGCAGCCTAGCCACTCTTAGTAGCCCTAATCGTTGCCCATGGCCCATGGTCGCCCAGCGTTACAAGGGCCCTTTTTTACTTGAAGGTAGGTACTACTCGGCTTTGTCTCAGTAACCAACCAACTACAAGTCTGGAGTTGGCTTGGTAGGCTCGCCCTATCGGGTGTCCACTTGGACTCTGGAGGGGAGCACGAGGTCAGCCCATGCCGCCTTTCTCCCCCGATCCCCATCTGTCAATTGCTCGACCTTTGCAAAGTTGAGTTTCAGTTTCAGCCATTGGGGGTTGCTTATTATTATGAATTTCTGAAGTGGGTGACTCTCGGCGAGCCGTGTGAGGGTGAGGTGTGAGGAGGAGTGCATCATGCGCACAAATAGTAAGAGTTGTGAAGGGGGGGATCAGATCAGAAGACTTCGGGATGGTACGTACATGAACACCACTGAGTAGGTAGTAAACGAGGGCAACCAAAGTCAAAAAGTCACTTCGTCACCGACTGACTCGGGATGTGTGAACCTTGCAGCACTGGCCCGGGAAAAAGGGGACTTCCGCCACACACGTTTGTTGTGCAGCACCTTCAAAGTACATGTACCTACGAACAACGAGGTACAGTACATGGTAGAGCCCAAGGTGCCAGGACAAGATGCGGGAGGGCAGCAAAGCACCAAGCGCGTCCCCCCGTTCCCGACCCCGATGTTCCATCGCCCAGGCGCCTTGACGGCGTTGGTAACCAAGTAGAGGCACCTAAAGGGAAAGAGAAAAATTAACCCTTGCACCGTGGTCGGCGATAGGCTCAGACACCACCTGCGAGGGACTAGCCCAGTTCCTAGGCACAAGGCACTAGGCAAGGTGGAAGGGTGGCATGGTCATGGTTTAGGGCTCCACCATCCTGTTGCGGAACGGCTGCAGCCTTTTTTTCACGGTGTTGACGCTAGAGCAGCCCACGGCCGATCTGGGCTATGTATGCGTGCTGTAGGGCTGAACCAACCCAGCTCCAGCCCAGTTCTGGATCAGATAGCCCAGGCGAACAAGGGACAGAGGAGAAGAAAGGGAGAGAGAAGAGAAGAAAACTACACAGCCACCGGCGCCCGCGCAGACTACATCCCCGCACTCATTCCAGAAGCTCATGGCTATCGCTGGCCGTTAGGCCTTGGGTCCCCTTAGAGTTTCCCTGGCTGGTGCTGGCTGGTTGCTGGCTGTTATGCCTCCGAACAGCCCTGCCGCTGCTG